AATCTTTATTGAACAAGTCAGGATACAATTCTCAGGAAACAGAAAAGGCGCTAATCCAATCACCGAACGCGCACGGCCAGTCTCGACGTAAGGCCTTCTCGCTAGCCCTAGTACGCAGACGAGAACAAGTCAGGATACAGGAAACAGATCACGAGTCTGAGACTCGTGATCTGATTGGCTATTGAAAACTGACTGTGCCCGTTCACTTACAGTGCACAGGGGCCTGCTCTGTTTAATCTGAAGGCCCCGAGCAAGTTTAATTTACCTGGCAACGCAAGCTAGCTGAAATATGATTGGTTAAAAACTCTACCATAATAAATAAGTTATTTATCAGTGGCTTTCAATGTTATTTAAAATAACAGCCACTCAACTAAGTGGAAATAATATATTATTATTTCCATATATTATTAATATATTATTATTATTAATATATATAATAATTTTGTTTACAATTTATGAAAATAAAATAACATAAATTATAAAATAACATAAAATACATCAAAGTAAATTTACTTTTCTGAGAATGTTTAGGCCAGCAGAGAAGGCCTTGCTGGCCCTCAGGGTCCGCCACTGAGTTACCGTATGTATTTTTCACAAATGAAAACACAACCCACTTCTCTGTAAGGTGAGTAGGAGCTATTGTTCCCTCTACCAAGTGTTTTGTTTCATTTAGCGTCAGACTCAAGATGTGTTATTACCTGCCAGCTGTATTTCCCTCAGGCGTGGATTTTAATTTGATGCTTTTACAATGGAAAGGTGCTGACTCACCGTAAACCCTGCATGCTCGACACAACATGCCCCAACCTTTTATAAATTTGCAGAACACCTTAGTTATTAGTCACTTCTCAAGTCGGTGTATTACTTCAAAATAATTAAAGCAGTGGGCCTAAACATGTCCATCTGCCTCACCCGTCTCTTTTCTCAGCAGCTCACTCAGATTAACACCGTGGTGTGCCCCAAATCAACATGCTCCAGTGCTGCTTTCAGACTCCTACAGGAGAGGTCTGCTAGGTGTTGACCTCACGGGGTGCTTCCAACTGTCGAATCATGGGAAGGTGGTGACGGAATTTAAACGAAAAGACGGGCCATGAGGAGGTTTTTCCGCGGGCAGAGGGATGAAGATTATGGTCAGATCCAGTATCTGACAGCCAAGTGCACACGTTTGGCTCGAGACAAAGGTAAGTGGATGTTTTATGTGCCTTTAAATGTTTAATGGGGTGATAATAATAACAATGCATTTTATTTGAAAGTGCTTTTCGCAGTACAATACAATACATCCTGATTTATATCGCGCTTTCACAACAGCTCTGTTGTGAAAGCGCTTAACAAAACAGTTAACATAAAGCAAAATAATAAACACAACACATAACATAAAACACGGACAGTCGTGCAATCTTAACCACTTTTCTGCATACACTTTGTTGTTTGAAGCATTTTGAAATGAAAGAGGAGAGAATCAAAGTGTCCTTTCACTAGTGGATCAGAGACGTCATGCTCAAAATGTGCACATGTTGGCTACAAGCTAAGTTTCAAAGTCAACAAGTAGCTGTAGCATCCATTGACGAAAAAAAGAGATTGGTTCACCTCTCCTGTCCCATGTAAATCCATTTCAATTCCAAGCGGCGACTCTCAGTTCTAAATACACACTCCAAGACCCTTTGCAACAAAAATTAAGAGTACCGTTCAGAGCAAAATATACACAAGTTTTCAAACAAACAAATTTGAAGAAAAGAAAAAACAAAACATGAAATGAAGGTCAAAATATGTTTAAAACATTGTGGAGCAGGTGATTTTGGAGAAATGATTTGAAGGATGGGAGGTAAGTAGCAGATGTGTTGAGGTGGGGAGTTCCAGAGAGTGGGGGTGGCGTCAGAGAAGGCTCGGTCCCCCCAGGTTTTGTGCTTGGTCATGGGGATGGCGAAGTGGTTTGCGTTTGAGGAGCGGAGGGTGCGGGGAGGAGAGTATGGTTGGAGAATGTCGGAAAGGTAGGAAGGGGCCTGATTGTGAAAGGCTCTATAGGTGAGTAGGAGGAGTTTAAATTGAATGTTCTGGGGAACGGGAAGCCAGCGGAGGTTTTTATGGACTGGGGTGAAGTGATCACGGGAGTAGCTGTAGATGAGAAGCCGGGCGGCAGCGTTCTGGATGCATTGTAGATTATTAGGAGTTTAGAGGTTGTACCAAAGAGCAGAGGTTCCCAAGCCCCGGGCCGCGGACCAGGACCGGTCCGTGGGTCATTTGGTACCGGGCCGCACAGAAAGAATAAAGAATTTACATTACTTCCGTTTATTTGGATTATTACTATTTTGGAATCTGAAAGATGTTTTATTTTGAAAAATGACCAGATTCTCTGTTACATCCGTCTACAGTACGTCACTCTTGACGCGCTTCTCTGTCACGTGATAGGTTACCGCTAAAATGAAACCCCGGAGCTAGAAAAATGTGTAAAAAACAAGTCTTTGGAAAGTTCCTATGGGAAGGGGAAAAGGCCCAGCCAGGAGACAGAAGAGGTGCCAACGACTTCCAAGAAAAAGAAGGCTACATTTAATTGACAATGTAAGTGCTATTCCACAAAGACAGAACACCTTTTGAGGCCAGCGCAACGACGAATCTTGAACGAAAACAACAGGACAAGGACTTCTTTGTCTTTTCTATTTATGAAAGAAGAAAATTATACAAAAAAGGGTTCTCTTTGTTTGTCTTAATTCGTTTGTTTGTTTGGTAAAAAAAAACAAAAAAAAACGATATATCGCTTGTTGGCTTGAGCTGGCCTCATCTGTCTCTCTTGTCCATCTCACTCCTTCTCCACACTGTTGCCAGTCGCGTGACGTCATAAGAATTAGTTCCGTCAAAGAAATATTCAAACATACTACAATATATTTTAAACAAATGATTGTGACATAGCGGCTTGGTAGTCCAGTGGTCAGCGCGCCAACCTCATAGTGCAGAGGTAGCGGGTTTGATTCCAGCTCTGGCCTTCCTGTGTGGAGTTTGCATGTTCTCCCCGGGCCTGCGTGGGTTTTATCCGGGTACTCCGGTTTCCTCCCACATTCTAAAAACATGCACGGCAGGCTGAGTGAACACTAAATTGTCCCTAGGTGTGAGTGTGAGTGTGGATGGTTGTTCTTCTCTGTGTTCCCTGCAATTGGCGGGCAACCGGTTCAGGGTGTCCCTGGCCTACTGCCCAAAGACGGCTGGGATCGGCTCCAGCACCCACCGCGACCCTTGTTAGGATAAGCGGATTGGAAAATGGATGGATGGATGGATGGATGGAATCTAACATATGCATACAATAATAATGACCATTATTTAAACTTGGTTAAGAAATATGCCAATAGAACATATCAATACTACACGCCATATGGAATACGTCACAAGAAATCGACCAATATTAAATTGGCACCGACAGACAGTATCAGGATTTCCTATGTAAAATACGGATTTATCTCAACGGGAGATTGCCATGCACCAAGCCCACTCTACATAACATGCGGCATGGTGAGTTGTATTTTTCATGCACTTTATATTTGCGGTGTATCTTATTTTGAAGGCACGTTTATACGTTACCATCATAGCGACCAGAGAGTGTTGCGGCGAGATCGGACGTTCCTCGTGGCATGATTCGTGTTTATTATTATGTTTCGAAAATACCAGTTTTCATGCAGGTCATATCATATTATTTGGTTGTATTTATCAGTCACACCTTCAAGGCCGATCCCTGAAAATATAGTCTGACATTAAACCAGTTCGTGGGGGAGAAAAGGTTGGGGACCGTAGCCATAGAGGATGCTATTGCGGTATAGTCGAGGCGGGAGATGATGAAAGCGTGGATAAGGCTTTGGGCGGCAGTGAAAGAAAGTGAGGGTTGCAGAAGCGAGAGATGTTCCTGAGGTGAAAGAAAGTAGTTTTGGTGATTTGGGTGATGTGTTGTTCGAAAGAAAGATTATGATTCAAAAGGACACCAAGGTTGTGACAGTGAGAGGAGGGGATCAGGGTGGAGTTGTCGATAGTGTGGTTAAAATTGGAAGCAGTTTAGGTGTGGGAGTGTGGACCAATGATTAACAGGAGAGATTTTGTGCAGTTGAGAATGAGAAAAAGTTTGTTTGAATCCAGGATTTAATATCAGAAAGACAATTGGACAGGCTGGAGTGGGTTGTTGGGATGATGGAGGCTCAGAGGGGATCGAGCCTTTTTCGTTGCTGGTCCCTCTCTTTGGAATGACCTCCCACTGAACATTCGGCAAGCCCCCTCGCTGCCCATCTTTAAAACCCGCCTCAAAACTCACTTGTATTCTTTGGCATTTGACTCAGCATGACTCAGACTTGATCTTAGTTTTACTGTTTGGTGCTTTCGATCGTCTTTGTCACTGATTTATTGCTTTATTGTTGTATATATGACAGTTGCTCCGTGTACAGCACTTTGTATGCAGCGATGGCTGTTTGAAAGTGTTCTATAAATACAGTTGAGTTGAGTTGAGATGGATTTGGTGGAGATGTACAGTTGGACGTCATCACCAGTGAAAGCGGAGATTGTGATGACGAATGATTTGGCCGAGGGGGAAAAGGTAGAGGATGAAGAGAAGAGGACCAAGCATAGAGCCCTAGGGGACACTTTAGGGCTTAGGACAAGGGGGCAGTGGAGGCGGCGCAGATATGAGTGAAGCCAGGTGAGGACGTTGTCTATGATGTTGAGGGAATGTAGGCAAGAGAGTAGGATGGAGTGATTGATGTTATCGAAGGGGGCGGTAAGGTCAAGGAGGATGACGATGGCAAGTAGGCTGGAGTTGGAGGAGAGGAGGAAGTCAATGGTGATTTTAAGGAGGACGATTTCACTGTTGTGTTGTGTCCGAAATCCAGATTGAAAGTGTTCAAAGAGTTAGTTATTGTCGAGATGGGCTATGATTTGGAATGTGTGTGGGTGTGTAAGTTGACATGAATAGTCAGGCAGTCCAGAAGGTCCAAGAATTCAGAGGCCTGGTTGCAGTTGCTGTTGTCGATATGGAGGTTGAAGTCGCCAAGGAGCAGAGTGGACGGTGAGATGAGTGGAAGCTGTGTGACAAAAATCAGAGAAGTCAGAGAGATAACAATATGCCGAAAATAAGTGGGCTGTCATTTATCAAGATTTTAAAGTTTAAATCTATAGTCCAGAAATACATTAATGCTGTGAAAGTAATTCTGTGGTTGAGCGAGCCTTCATGTGGTTGCAGCTGTGTCAGACAGGGAGGTCCTGTTGTTCAGGGAAAAGGAGAAGAAGCTGCAGAATGACCTCCAAGCTGTGGCCGCTCAACTTTTCCACCTGGAGAAGAGCAACATGGAGCTCAGGAGGACACAGGACCAGCTAATCGGCACCATTCACCAGCAGCAGGTGCAGACTGCTTTCGTAAAATAGTCTAAAAAATAATTGTAACATCAGCATCAGGTTGTCCACCTTATTAGATACCCACACCCAGCGTAGGGATAATTTCTTTGGCTATGAAGAGTCATGCATTATACACTAAGAAATTAACAGAACGTGCAATATGAGTATATTTTAAAGTAAATCTGTGATGTCTTTTTCTTTATGAATTTTAGAAGGATGCAAGCCCGGTAGTCGAGTGGTTAGCACGTTGACTTCACAGTGCAGAGATACCGGGTTCAATTCCAGCTCCGGCCTTCCTGTATGGAGTTTGCATGTTCTCCCCATGCTTGCGTGGGTTTTCTCCGGGTCCTCCGATTTCCTCCCACATTCCAAAAACATGCATGGCAGGCTGATTGAACACCCTAAATTGTCCAGAGGTGTGAGTGTGAGCGTGTCTTTTGAGAAAAAATGCATGGCAGGCTGATTGAACACTCAAAATTGTCCCTAAGTGTGAGTGTGGGCGCGAATGGGTGTTCGTTTCTGTGTGCCCTGCGATTGGCCGGCAACCGATTCAGGGTGTCCCCCGCCTACTGCCCGAAGACAGCTGGGATAGGCTCCAGCACCCCCCGCGACCCTAGTGAGGATCAAGTGGTTCGGAAAATGAATGAATTTGATGTTACTGTATATTATTTTCCCCCGGCTCCCCTCAGGAATGTGTTCTATCACCGCTTTTATTTGTTTAATACACACATGAGTGTCAGATTTGCATCTTATTCTGTAATGGTATCACTTTTAAATGACGATTACCCTGATCATGGTCATGTGGTTTGTGCTTTTAGCAATTAGTGTAATCGTTCCATCCATCCATTTTCTATCACTTATCTGGGGTCGGGTGGCGGTGGCAGCAGCTTTACTAAGGAGGACCAGACTTCCCTTTCCCCAGCTATTTGTTCCAGCTCTTCCAGGGGGATCCCAAGGCATTCTCTGGCCATCTGGGAGACATCGTCTCTCCAGCATGTCCTGGGTCGTCAAAATGTGAATGAACACTGGCAGATATTTCTATTAAAGTGTGACCAATTGATATTTATCTCTTTCATAATTATTGGAAGAAATCTCTAATGTGATCAGTGTCTTTTGAGAAATGAATATTAATCATGAATTATAACATATGAAGGTAGTTCGAGCAAATTGATTTCAAAAGTGCATACTATCCAACTTGTAGCCCTCCACATTAAACAGTCGTCAAGAAGGAGCTTTTAGTTTCAAAAAGGTTGGTGACCCCTGCTCTAGAATGTGTATCTACTCCATCTGTTTATCTATAATCAATCCACCCATCTACTTGTCCATCGATCCATCTATTGTATCCAATGTATGTACTTTGTAGGAGTTGGTGGAGTTGCTACAGCAGCGTGTGATCATCCTGGCAGGGGAGAGTGAGCGCGATGCCGAGCTGCTGCGTCAAGTGTGCTCGGAACTGCTGTGCCTCCAGAGCTCCGAGGTGCGGCTGGAGGGCCTGGTGGAAGAGCTGCACTTGAGGGCCCACGGCGGGGACGAACAGAATGAGGGCCTCCAGGCGGAGCTACAAATGTAAACTATTACAGTGACTGTAGTTTCTGCAATGCATCATACTCCGAGCTGTTTCTAATGTTTTGCCCCTCTTCTTATGTGGTAATCTTAATATTTGGAACAGATCAAATAAGAGAATGTGAATACATACTTATATGTTTTTCATGTCTTGTCGCCAACAGTAAGACAGCGGAGTTGGAGCAGCTTCGTGACGCCAACAAGATGCTGGCGGAGGAGCTGATGGATTTGCGTTTTACGCATGAGGAACAGGTTAGCAAAAAAACTTCCATAATAATAAATAAATAACTTTGTCACTTAGAAATGCCCTTATTTTTCAAACAAAAGCAATTTTTTTTTAAAACACATTGAGACATCATTTTGGATTAATTTGATGTTATCTTCATTGGAAAATAAGCGCACTTTAGAGCAGGGGTCACCAACGTGGTTTCCCCGCGAACACCAAGCCCGTGAGGCTCAAGTTTTGCATGATGGCATGATGGAGGATCCCAAAAAGCAGGGAGGCAGGAGGAGCAGGGTGGACTGAGCAAAATATATTAACCCAAAAATACTTGCAGGAGTACACTGGAAAAACTAATTGAAGGATACAAACAAAGCCCTGAAAACCACAAGAAACCAATGGAACAAAAACCTATGACAGAAACAAAACATGACAGGGCCACACAGACACACAATGATCCGACCAAAGACTGACAGAACCCAGGGAACTAATTACGAGCAAAGTGACGAGACAACGAGAAACATGTGGACAAGACACAAAGGGTTGAGGGAACTGACTGGTTAACACAAGGGACGAAAACAGCGGAAGACAAAAAGGTCACATGAGGGAACAAAACCAAATGTAATCTAAACAAAAACATAACAGTGAGGACCACATGAGTAGCTCGCCAGTGCTCAGACACTGTGATTTGCAAGTAGAAATTATAATTTAAAAATGCAAACACTGGCAGTATGACATCTTGAACATGATCGGAGTCTGAAAATTAAAACCATCAAGTCTTAAAAATAGCACATTCCAATATAATGAAATGTAATTTGGACAAATATGTTATTTCAGACGTATCAATTTGGTAGCCCTTCACACAATCAGTACACATGAAGTAGCTCTCACTCTCAAAGGTTGGTGGCGCCTGCTTTCGAGAATTGAGGAAAATTCGAAGTGACCCCAAACTTTTGTGAAGTAGTATCGCTGTAGCTCAATATTTGACATTAATATTCTTTTTCTCAATGTTTTTTGATGAGATTACGCAGGTGTGCCCAATATATCTGTGGTCTGGGATTATCTTTTATCATATCAAGGTAGACCTTGGCGTCAAATTGTGTAAGCATACCAAGTATCTCCTACAATGAGCATAATAACTACAACTCTATAATGCATTAAATCTAGCATGTTTTTTGGCTTGCTACATCTAAGCATGATTGTCTTTGTCAAGACATAATTGAATTATTCTTTGCAGGTGTATCTAACGTTGTGGCTTGAGTATCTTTCATTATTCCATTAATACGGATGTAATTGCCCTGCGACTGACTGGCGACCAGTTCAGGGTGTAGTTCGCCTTCCCGCCCGAAGTCAGCTGGGATAGCACCCCCACGTCCCCGCGCGACCCTGTTAGGACAAGCGGTGATGAAAATGGATGTCTGACCGCATAGAAACACTCTGCATCGCCTCTTTTGTCCAGCAGGTGTCAGGTTTGGCCAACACTATTGTCCTTGTCTTCACAGACAAACCCTGCAATGAAGGTTTAAAGTGCAAGTGGTAGTTATTCGTCTTTTGACAAGCTTGAAGCCAAGTTCATCCAGGAATGATGAAACGCTACATTAGCAATCAGGGAAATCAGGAAACATTCCGGCCCGTCAAGATTTTCTTCTTTTTCTTCTTTAAATTTACACTTGACTCGGACAACTGCAGAGCAGTCAATCAAACCACAAACCGTCCAAAATCCACAATTACCTTTCATTTTATGTGCACAGGCCAAGTCACGTGCATCAAAAAAGCCTAATGAGAACATAAAACTATTTTAAAAAGCTGCTTTTGATGTTGTTGACTACGTTCTGATTATGAATGCAGATTGTAATAATAATAATAATAATAGTAATAATAATAATAATAATAATAATAATAATAATAATAATAATGTTCCTGAGGTGAGAGCTCTGCGACGAGAAAATGACGGTGGTGCGAGGAAGCTCCAGGAGACATTGGAGCAGTTTGAGTGGCTGTGTCATCAACAGCGCTCCTGGATGGCGCGCGTCAAAAGGTGAGATGCAGCCTGAACACACAGAGGTCAAATGTTCACATTTTTTGACACATTTCTGGATAACTGTGGCTTTTTTTTTTTTTTTTTACTTTAGTCTCACAACTTAGGAAAAATGCAGTGTTAAAGTTACCGGTACTAAATACTGCATCAACTCAACTGTACAGTATTTACAGAGCACCGCTGTATACAAAGTGCTGTACATGGACCAAAAACAATTCATACAATAAATTAATAAGAAAGACCGTAGAAAGCACAAAAACGGTGAAACAAAAAATATGCTGAGTCAAAAGCCCAAGAATAAAAAGGAGTTTTAAGACGAGTTTTTTAAAGATGGGGACCGAGGGGGCTTGCCGAACATTCAGCAAGAGGCCATTCCAAAGAATGGGACCTGCAACGGAAAAGGCTCGACCCCCTCTGAGCCTCCGCTTAGTTCTCGGTACCTCTAATAGTGTCTGGTCCGCAGACCTGAGGCACCGGGCAGATGCGGAGGACCTCAGAGGTGGCGAGGCCATTTAAAGATTTGAAAGCAAATAATAGGATCTCAAAAAGAACTCTAAAATGTAAAGGGAGCCAGTGAAGGGATGCCAGAGGAGAAGTTATGTGCTCCCTCTTACCAGTACCACTCAAGAGGCGAGCAGCAGTATTCTGGACCAACTGGAGACGCTTAGTATTACAGATCATATTGCTATTATATGGACTAACAGCAAACCAACCCCACCCTAAAATCATGTTCAGTCGCTAATTTGATACACTAACAAATAGCTTCAGTGATGAGGTGACTCAGCAGTGTTACAAAAAGAAATGGGAGATGAATGTGTTCGCATATTCTTGGCTGACCGTTTCCTTCTGCACATTACCTTTTTTAAACAAAACAGGTTTACTCAAATACATACATCTAACTTAAGAACTTTCACTCATTACGGTCTAAGAAATACTTTTGATCTTGAGCTGACATGATGCTGCAAGGCTCCCGTAGAGTGAGGGCTGGCATTTTTTCAAATAGGTGAGGATATAAGAGATAAATATATCCAGTAAGTGGGGATGGAACAATAGTACTCATTTTTGAGAAAATAATACATTCATCATATTTAGACAGGAAAGGTTTTCTCATGACAGCGACAATATGCATGCGGTGTTGTGAAAGTGCGTTGAATGCAGGGAGTTGTCAAAATGGCGATGAGGATCAGGTACATTGGAGCATATATCATCGCAAATCTCCTGATGCAAGTCATCCATGCAAGAAAAGGTGGTGATTTGATTTGGCACTTGCATTTTATGACCTTCCAGCAACGTTTGGATATAACGGACGTTTTTTTTCATTATTCTGGAACATGCAACATTTTTTTTTGAATGGGTGAAATGTAACATTAAAAATATTGATGAGAATAATATGCACAATATTAACATTTGTCTGAATGCATCAATTCTTTTTTTTTCAGCTTTAAAGACCATATTTTGAAGGAGAGGGAAGGTCTGCTTCAGCAGGTACACACACAGGAAAATCAGGCGAAACAGTGGAAGAAGTCACGCGATCATGTGCGCCGACACTGCCCCCTAGAGGACCACGACTGCTGCAACAGGTTAGCGCAATCGACTTTTACTTGCACTATTCTAGTGTAATCATTCAAACATGACGGCGGACAACAGACAGACAATCACATATCGCAGAGTTTTCCAAAGGGGTACAATATACTTTCTAATGTCTAAAATTAATTGAATTCCCTATTATCGCCTCAGAAGCAGTCCATCCTCATGGGACACTAAAGAGGTGAGGTATGAGGAGCGCCATGAGCAGGTATCTGATACTTTCTTTGAGGACCAGTTACTGTGTGGGAAAAATAGAATAACATTGAATGTTTTCTCTGGGTTCCTTGGCTTCCTCCCACAATCTAAAAAAACACGCATCGTATGTTCATTGAACACTCCAAATTGTCCATAAATGTGAATTTGAGTGTGAATACTTCTTTGCCTACATGTGCCGTGCAATTGGCCGGCAAGCAGTCCAGCTCTCTACAAGGCTACCAATGAGCTTTACTGTAACCTTGGTTCACTCAGAAATAAAATAATTTTATGAGTCGGCGTACAGGGTGGCTCGGTGGTCCAGTGGTTAGCGCGTCAACCTCATAGTGCAATTCCAGCTCCGGCCTCCCTGTGTGGAGTTTGCATGTTCTCCCCGGGCCTGCGTGGGTTTTCTCCGGATACTCCGATTTCCTCCCACATTCCAAAAACATGCATGGCAGGCTGATTGAACACCCAAAATTGTCCAGAGGTGTGAGTGTGAGCGTGGATGGTTGTTCGTCTGTGTGTGCCCTGCGATTGGCTGGCAACCGGTTCAGGATGTCCCCCGCCTACTGCCCGAAGACGGGTGGGATAGGCTCCAGCACGCCCCGCGACGATTGTGAAGATAAGCGAATCAGAAAATGGATGGATAGATGGATGTTTATTGTTGTTAGTTTTGAGTACGTCTGCAGTTTAAGTGTCAAATGAAATGAGCAGTAAAAGGTGTTCATCGAGGTGAAGTATCATACAGTGGTGAATGTCCTCTTCTACCTGTATGATAGGTGAAAATGTGAGCGCTTGTTAATACCTGTTTCATGATGGCAACAGGTAATAAATGATTTCACTGTACATTTTATTATTTGTGATGGGAAATGTTGAAACTTGAACAACATAGATGTCAAACAATACAGTACCACAAATGATAGTCGGCTCAGTTCAAGTCTTTGTGAAGACTTTTTAACTTTTTAACATCAAAGGACTTTGTATTTCCCACATTCAACCAAGCCTGTCGTTAATGCATGATTAAACAAAGCCGATAAAAACATGATAAAAGAGATATGTTGAAGTATTATAGTAGCTTATGTATTCTTGGACAACTGGAAACCAGTAGCAAAACATTAAAAAAAAAAAAAAAAATCTAAATGAGCTACGCTTACCCAAATGATGATTGTCTTTTGGAAGACTTAACAATCATAAAAGAACTTTTACTTGGAAAATCCAACAAGCCTGTCATTTGAAGTTTTATTGTTTTTTTTTTCCAAAAAAGCATATAAAAATATGGTGGGATACCCAAAGACAGAAATATTCAAGCATTTAACCAGTCTATGCTTGGACAATTAACGCTGAAGACCAGGAATGAACCCCAAAAAATCTGAGCTACATTGAGTTCAATGGAAGATGATTGTCTTTTGGAAGACTTTTATGATCATAAAATGACTTCTACTTGGAAAATCCGAACCCAGCTGTCGTTTAGACATGGAAAAAAAAAACATTTCAAAACATAGTGGAAGACCCAAAGACCAAAATGTTCCAGAATATTAAAAGAACTGGCCGGCAAAGACAACAGACCGGTGGAGAATGTCTGGGTTTTGGTTGTGGGAATGTAATAGAAGACTTAAAAAACAGAGCTAATATTCCAAGGCGGAGCGTTTCCGAACCTAAAAGCGTTCTTTGATACTTTGCGGGCATTGGAATCTCTTCACAGCTTTTAAGCTAATCAAGATTTAGCATATGACTGGCAGTGGTGGGAAGTAGCAAAGCGCTCGAGTAATACTTTTTACTTGTACTACCTTCAATTAAAAAAGTCTGCACTTTCTACCCCTTTGCACAACTAAGCTTGTTATCTTTTTCAACCTCCTCCATATGACAACACAACATATCCAAATTGAATATTTAATATACATTGAATAGACAAACCGATTCAAAGTCAGTTTCTTCTCCAGAGCCATCATTGCTCCGAACAAAGAATAACAACACAACCTCCAACAACATGTGCAACATCTGTAACCTGCTAGCATGTGCAATACTATAAACATCACGTGCCATACTTGCAATCTGTGAGCAACTAAGTGCGATACTGAATAAGTGCAATAAGATGTGCAATAGTATGATAATAATGCATCCAACAGATGGTGAAAAAAAAAGTGAACAATGTACCACTAAGGTGGCCTTACATTTTGTTTTTATTTTTATTGATTGCTTTTATTTTAAATTATTGTCTTTACCAGTGGAGCAGCGCTCATTATTTCGTTGTATGCATGGCATAGAGCAGTGCTTCTCAATTATTTTCTGTTACCCCCCGACCCCCGAACTAGAAGAAAACAATTCGCACCCCCACCCCACTCTCTGCCGACACTATAAATATAATTTGTCTATAAAATTGGTATAAGTACAACTCGGCATTACAGTGTATCCTTATTAACATTAAAGAAAAGAAAAAAGAAATATAGTTCAATTTACAGCAAAGAATAACTTTATTGGCATTTTTTTTTTTAGTCGAACAGAAAAGATTTTAAATACATCAATTTGCCTGAAAAAAACAAATCCTTGTAAACATTTTCGCACCATTTCATTCTCAAAACAAAAATTAAATCACATCAATAAATAATAACAAATTCCAATTCATCTCAGCAACGTTAACTCAGAGCACAATAAATAAAACACTTTATTCTACAAAACTTTTTTTTTTTTTTTTTTTATCAAAATGAAGTCAGGATTGATGGCTACGATGAGCACGTTTTGCAGTGTAGACATTTTCCAGCGGTTTATCAGCTTGATAGAGATGTAATGTCTTCAAGTGGCGCGCGCCTTGATTGATTTGGCTATGTATTGTCCCCAGCCAGCATTTGACAAAGTCAACACACCGGTCTTTCCTCGTCCGTTTCCCACTGTAGTCACGGTGAAGCCAAGCACTACATACGCTTTGTCATATTTCCTTGTCCCCGCTTTCGGGTCACTTTCTTTTGTCTCATTATCTTCGCCTCTCTCTGCCTTTCTTTTCAGCTTATCTCTTGAGGGTGTGTTTACTGCACTTCATATCGCCTGCTAGGTGCAAAAAAAAAAAACAACAAAAAACTACACCATAAGGCTAATACGGTACTCCCTGCGCACTCTCTGACGTCGGGGCCGGCACTGCCAACTGCAGTAGTGGATGTGCAATTACACTTTATTCTATTTTCTTTGCCAAAAACACGCATGTTCCCCAGAGTCTCACGCGCCCCCGCTGGAATCCCCCCCCCCCCCCCTCTTCCCCGCCCTTACTATTTGAGAAGGACTGGCATAGAGTGACAATAAAGGCTTTTGATTTGATAAGCCGAAAGTCAAAACAACAGCAACAACCACCACAGCTTTAGTAGATTCCACGGTCCGTTCTTTTTCTGGAGGTGGTAAAACCAATGTGTTGTTTTGTACAGTTTGCATCTATAGTAGTGCAGGTGCTTGGAGGCCATCTCTCTTGTGGAGTGTACGCTTTTGGCAACCAGCTTTGATGCACTTTAAATCTTTCAAAACCCAAAGCCAAAGAGGCAGCGGTCTCTCCTCGCTCGCCAGAACCCCCTACTCGTCCCCCCGCCGGCCCCCTTCGCTTATCTATGGCCTCATGTCCTGTTGGACATGATCTTCACACTTTTACAAGATCTGACCTTGAGAGACAGGATGACATTATGTAAGGAAAGAGTCCATCTGTTGCTCTATAAAAAGCTGCCGATAGTGCCAGAATACTCAAGACCTGTTTTTATTTTTTCTGAAGGCTGCGTATATTCGGGAAGAACCAAGTCTCTGAAGTTCAAACTGTCTTCACCAGGCAGGAGATGCCCGCATGACTCATATTTTATGACTTCCTTGTAATGCCAGTGGCAAGAACCGAGGACCTCTGATACCCAATCAATTGTTTTCAGAATTACTGGGAGGCTGGCAAAAGTACTTTCGCACTCTCCACTGCAGCTGGTGACTCCACCGTAGTTCCAGACCGGAACTTCCATAGCTTTCGAGATAGACTTTCCTGAGCTTTGTACGACCGCCTACCCTTGGAATCTGGTGTTTTCATCAGTGGTGGTAATAGCAGTCCTTCTGCTGCGTGTTTTTTTTTTCACGAACAGCTCCTGTTTCGAGAAAGTTGCCACGGATAGTGTACATTAGACTATACGTGCTGGAGCAGTATAGTATATCTACAAGTGGCACTGAACTGCACTTGGAGACAGAAAATCATCTGCCGGCAGCAGTGCTTACAGTTTACAAAAACCGCAACGCCTAAGCTGCCAAATGCTGATGGCCTCACGTCTGTCCGAACAATACCTAACACAAAATATGTAAAAGTCATCAAAAAAACTATGCTCAAGTAAAAATTCCTATAAACTACTTTGACAAAGTTTTGCACTTTGTTACTTCCCACCACTGCTGATCGTGGCACATTTCTTTCGGCTCCCCCTCCTTTCTTGATTTATTCATTTATTTCCATTAGTTGTAAATACAAATAGACAGCAGTGATAAATGTGCATTTGATCACCAACAAACACACAGTCAGAAGCTAAAGATGGTCGAGCCAACCGTTAATAGAAGGCATGTGTGTTATATCATCATGTCTGGATATAAACATTCTCCTATTATTTTAGCGAACACACACAACACACAACTATGAAGTGGAACTTTAGCACTGACGCTAAAGCTAACACGCAAGACTGCTCGAGCAGGTGATCCGAGGTCACCGTTGCGTCAGACTTATTATTCCAAGCCAAGACAACATGATTCTTGAAAGTGTTATCTTAAGGTCACATTACGACACCACGTTCCTTTAAAGGTCGGTACGTAAATAAAGACGAGGAGTCTAGGAGGACTTTGGATTATTTTCTTTTTTTTCGGGACCATCCTTCAACTACAAAGGGGCTTTCGGAGACGTCTGGAACGCGGCGACGCTCAAATCTCGGGGGTGAGGTTGAAATTTAAAACACGGAGATATTCATCTGAGGACGACTGTCAATTATCCCGCGTATTTGTTGTGCAGCCAGAACCCAGTCGGAGTCCAATCTTTTCATTTGTGCCGTGTGTGGGGCAGCTTTTGATTGAAACTCTTGAATGCGGCACAAAAATTTCTCAAAGGCATTCACACAACAACAGTGACTGAAAAAGGACTTTTTGTGAATTTTTGTTTGTTTGTTTTTTGTACAGTATTCAAAGCTAATGTTGAAATACTGTATCTAAATAAGAAGATGTTTGATAGACATTGTCATGCCGATGTGTGTTGCCCACTTGAGTTGTCAGGCTTTGATTTTCGGGCACTGAAGTCACATCAGCACCTCCTGGTGTGAATTCCACACCGTCTCTCCAAGACAGCCCAGATGACTAATAACAAGCACGGGATGCTGATTTGCCAAAAGCCTCCATGCTCCATCCTCCACACCTCTTACGCTGGCTCTGCCGTGCATTTGCGTGGGATAATAATTTAGATTGAGTGCAGATGATGTTTTTTTTTTTTTTTACGATAGAGAGAAAGACAATCTTGCTGGAGGAACAGGGACTGGTGGAGGGAAAATGCGAGGATGTAAGACAATTCCAGCTGCTTGAAGACATGATTTCGAGACCATTCAGTGAGGCTCATCAGAAGACCAACGCAACCTGTTCCAGCAGCATTTTTGACTTGCAATTGGAAATAAATGAATGCCTTAGAGGTTTGTCTAAGTCTTTAGTGTGCCGGTAAATATCATCAGGTGTGCAACAAGAAATTATCCAATTTCAGGTCAATTGGTGCAAAAATGATTACCAACCTTTATTCATCTTTCTACAGATGGCTTATTATTAATGACTTGTGCTAATCCCTTCTAGAGGGCTAATTTTCAACATCGTAAATGCTTTTGAGGTATCTCTTTCAAGATAGATGGTCCTTTGTCATATATATGCAAAATTTGAGTGCATCTTTCTCATTGTTCGGGTCAGGCGTGGGCTGATATTAGATTCTGACGGTATGAATCTGATCACTGTGAGCAAAAGTATTGCGGTATCACAGTATTAAAATTGCAGCTTGAAAAAAAGGCCTTTTTTAATATTTGGGGAGATTAGAACTGCAATTTTTTAATTTTTCATCAATATAGAAAGTGTTTGGTCAAGTTTATATAAATAAATAAATAAATAAATGTCAACATTCTTCTGTTTTAATTCTTCTTAATAAGTCACAGTGGCCCATCACCGGTGAGCTATTTTTACACTCATGTTGTCCTAGGGGCTAACCAGTACCCACTGGCACCTTTTTTTAAATTAGAATTTTTTTAGGACATTGCACATGAATCAACAGAGCAAAAAGGCATCCGTGTTTTCACAGTGTCTCTCTCATCTTGCTCCCTCCTCCTCCTCCTCTGTACTCACCCTTCCCTTCTCTGCTTGCTGAGAAGAAAAAAAAGTTAATAGGAGGCAATTAACTTGCTCAACTCTGGAAGCATCAAGTCATATTTTTCCCAGATTAGAAGTTTCCTCCCAGAAAGAAAAGAAGATCTCACAGCCAGTATTAGCAGTTATTAAAACTTTTCCATTTCAAAATCACGGTAAACCGTCAAACCGATAACCGGCCCATGCCTACAAAGGGCTTTACATTCACTTTTTCCAATTTTTGGACCATTTTCCTTTTAATTCAAATTTGTAGTCCTATTGAAAAGGAGGCCATATTAGAGACACATAAATGTGTTGAAAGTTGCGCGATTAGAGCACATTTTCAAACCGGCATCTTGGTAACATTTATAATAGTCATCGCGAGGCAGCCCCACCGAGCCCCAGCCTATGACATATCGCTGACTGTAAGGGGACGTTTAATCGTGCATCAACTTCAAAGTCTTCCAACGTCTGTCCGCGGCTTCAAACGCTGAAACGAGGAAATTGACGTTGACACAAATACTATCTCACATTCAGGTGCTTACATGCCAAACAGTTGTAGCACCGCTTCTGCGCGCAACCTCAACCCTACCGTGAAGTCATGAGCGCGATTTATGTTCACTCCGTCATTTGGACTTTCCTGAAGTTTTCACCACATTAAAGTCCTCGCTGACATCAAAGCTGACTTTCATAAATCTCAGAGATGTTGACTGAACAGACTGTGTAAGTAATTACCTTTGGGTTGAGGATTTGTTTTCTTGGTGTTTTACTGGTTTCTTTGATTTTATGCCTGTCTGACATGGTGGAAATTTTTGCTTGATAAGACTGACTCCAAATTTTTCCTGAAGCCTGATGCTGCTACTCATGTGATGCTGAAATGTGAAGGACGGGCAGATTGATCCAGATTGCGATAATGTCAGCTCCAGCATTGGCGTTGATAGTCATTGATGTCAATGTAATTGCATCAATGCTGTGATTTAGTTACTCTTTACCAGAAGCAAATACAGGGTGTTACAAAATAATGTAAAATAATTCACTAAAATGAATGGAAGTGCAATTAATTCGTCCCAGCCACCCAGAAAACACCAACAAAAAATTGTAAGGTGTTTTTTTTTTTTAGACAAGAAAAAATGCGCTCAAATGTATTCTACTTGAAAAACATATTAAAAACATCAACTTGATTTCCTGCATTTCGTGCAGCTCCTTTTGGTTAACGTACCTTGGGCACCAGGGGGCAGTCTAATGCACATCCTGTATATGTCATACATGTTTGAAAAAGACGGTCACAACTGCTCCAGAGAGTAAAGATACATGCCTGTGAGTAGATATGTCTGTCAACATGTGTCGCTACACAGTTTGTGTTCAAATATCCGTTCCTTGAAGCGGTGTCACGTCGCAGCATCACTGCTAGTTAAAACAGCACATCTCTGATGTTTTGCATCATGTGTTAGCATGAAGCTAGCGGACTCTTGTCAGAGAGATTTACGCGGTATGTTTACGTGCACACAATGTGTTATTCCCTTTATACTAAATTTAGTTTGACAATAATCGTCCACTGGGACTGACAATACAGTAAACAGCTTCCACCAAGAACTTGGCCTCTTTTATGAAGACTCATTCACAAGATGTCAAAGTCTGTCAAAGTTTGCCTTTTGTTGATTTGTTGAACTCCCTGTTGTGCTTGTATCTTAAACTCAACTCAAGACAAAACAATGGTTGAGTGTCGGCTCGTGCCTTGAAAAGCTAAAGGTACTAATGTAGCCTTGTATACAGTATATACTGTAAGTGAGGCCGATAAGTAACCTCTATACCACTGTGCTGCCTAATCCTGATGTTATTTATTTTAGTTTATTTTTTTTAACTAGCATTAGCTAGGTCGCTGAAACCGGTCGTGTTTTGGTGCTTTTTTTTTTTGAACACTCTTAAGACACCACAAGAGTGTGCCAAAAATCCTTCCTAATAGTAAAGTAGTAATTGTTTTGAAATACGTTATGTTGAAGTGATCAATCTTAGCAATTTCATGTGTTGCGGAAGAGCTCATTTTTTTAGCCTGGGTTACAGACAGTCTTCACCACACATGCATTTGTTTTCCAAGTCATCTGTAAGCCATTTATTTTTAGAGTCAAGTTTGGATGATGGAGATGAAAGTATTTTGGGCTCATATTGTGTCCTATATATACAGTTTAGAATACGAATAAAGGCATTGCTACATTTTTTTGGTGTTGTCTCTCTCCCCACACACACCGCTCTTGGCGGCAGGGCTCCCTCGCAAATAGTCGGGGCTGACTGTTGTGGTTTTTAAACTGACTTTAACTACCGGAAAGTGGAGAAGTTACTAAACCAGAACTTTTCCTTCTATAAAGTTAATCTGAGCCTTTTGGAAACAAGGCATCGAACAGTGATTCCAGGTTGTCAAATGCACTATTTTCCTAACCCGGTCACCCACTGGACTTTCTCTGCCTGCCTCATGCCAGCTATTTATTGAAATGTTGCACGTGAAGCTAAAGATGTTTTGCTGGAATCCTAGATGAGGAAGCTGTTTGCTTTTATGAGAACATAAATTTGCAAGCAGAGGCCGCGTCGGCCCGTCTTCTCGGCACCTATTGGCACATATCTGATGCGCGCATGTTTCTTATTCCGAGTTCCTGTCACGCGCGCATATTTTCTGTTTATTGTTTTTGATCATCTTCACTCATAGTTTATTATTTTGCCCTCAGGCGGGGAGTCCTTTCAACAGATATCAAAAACCTCCTTGAAGATGGAAAAAGTCTGCAGCCGGGACTCCTCTTCTTTTGCATACCCCAGTGTGGAATAAAGTGGAAGCGACAGAGGTGAACAAAATTGCTACAATTTGGAGGTCAACCACAATTTTGTTTGGAAAAAATAGCCTCAAAAGTCAAACAAAACTATCACCCTATTGTGGCATCAGCAAATCAGTGTCCCAAATAGGACCTAAAATTAGACTCATTGATATAATAAAGTGTCTGAAGACAGTAGTTTTGCTTGATTTTATTTTTATGACACAGCGGCTAACTACTTTCGATAAGCAAAACCAGAGAGAAAAATATATCAAGAACGATGATAAAGCCGTATGTTTTAGGGCAAAAAAATGTCAAGCATTATTTTGTACTTTTCTGAAATAATCATAAAAAGTAATGATGTTATCAGATTAAGAGCATTTATTTTTTGTGAAAAAAGCGAGCATACTATGAAAATAATTGCACTTTTCAAAATAAATTGAGAGAATATCATATTTTAAAAAAGTTATTTTTTTCAAGGAAAGGGGTGACAAAAATAATGGCATATTTTTTAGAAAACTTTTTTTCAATGGAAAAACATGACAAGAAGAATGCTTACTTATGGTAGACATGTTTCTTCATAAAAATACGTTTTAAAAAATAAATTCATCCTTTTGAGGGAAACAAATCATACTACAGTGAAACTCCTCGACAACGAAATCATGTTTGCAGCAAGAAATTTTTCACAACAGGGGTTTTTCACTGTTGCAAATTTGGCAAATTAGCAAACACAATTGTTTTATGTTAATCACTCCACTTTGTCTGTTGGTTTATAAAATTCATTTACTGTATACTCTTTTATAAAAAAGGAAGTTTCAATATCTATAATTTGATTTCAAACTTTACTTCTATAAAATGCACCTGAAGCATAACAGTAATGCAATGAATAATATGTCTACTGTATACAGTACTGTAACACCTTATAACTATGTAATTAATAAATTTAATGATACAAAACTAAGAAAAAAAACACCCCAAAATCTGTTACACTTTTTTTGGTTATGTTATAAAGCAACATTCGAATTTTCTATCCATTCGTGAAAAAATAATTGATAGAAAATAAAATAAAGTATTGTTGTATAGTGCTAAATATAGTTGTAGAGGAGTTTCACTGTATAAGAATAATGGCATCTTTTTAAAAAAAATAATAGTAACATTTCTTTCCCAAAGAAAAAAAGCCATTATAAAAATAATGGCATGTTCTTTTCACAACAGCCATGTTTTTTAGAGGAAGCAAAGTCACAATAGTTCAGGAGCACAATATTGCATTGTTTTCGAGTCTTAAATTGTCAAGTTGTTTTCCAAGAATAGGGTTGTAATTTTCAATAAAGTATGATTGCAGTCAACATAGAACAAGAAAACAAACCTTTCTCTTCAATGAAATATATAACTTTATTCTGGTATATTTATGACTATATATATTCTGGTATATTTGATGTTAAACAGTGTTAAAATGTTACCTAAAACATTACCTGTACAATGAATTTTTGTTCGCGTGGCAACATCATTCCCGTATCATTATTTGCTATGGGGAAAAAAAATGTCTGACAAGTCCAACTTCTTCAACTACAGAATGTATTGCTGTACCTTCCAGACAATTTTCTGCACGAACAAATAACACAAATGCATGAATGTTCACACATGCCCACTATGTGCCCGAGCCTCTTCACATGAGTCACATGTTCCTGTAATCTTCCACTACGCTGACCTCGTAATCATCTCCTCTGACAAGAGCAGAAAGGCACCTGAGTGTTGTTGAGTCAGTAACTCCATGCCGGATCGCAGCAGCTGCTGGACAGAGGAGGAAATAAACAAATTGTTGTGGTCCTCAAATAGCCTCTAATGATCCTTTCTCCCCTGCTGAGAATCTGTTACGACTTAACTGATGATGCCATT